TAAGTTATATAATATTATTATAATACTAGATCTGAATGAGTTTTCTTTAAATTGGAAAGAATATATTTTGCACTCAAAGTCTTAAAAAGCTAATATATATATATATATATATATCCATGAAAGAGCAGCTTTTCGTTATTTTTTTTTTAATATTTAAATGTAATTCAAGCTATCAAAAAATTTAACAAAACATTTAAAAAAAATATTTTAAAGCAAAATGACCCTACAATTATAATGATATTCTAGATTCTAAATGTTATAAAATAATATGAAAAACTATCCCCACAATAAAATAATAAAAATAATTTTAAATAAATATGTCTAATCCTTCACTTTTTAATGCGATTTATACTTTTTATTTTCATATAATCACCGTAAAATTAATCGGGTCAACATTTACAAAATAATATAATTTTTTTAAGCAAACTCTATGAAAATACTTCAAGTTCTGGAAGAACATTCTATTCAAATCAACAATTATTAGACGATATTTTTTCAACCCTGAGGTAAAAGCAAATTATTTTCCAAATAACCCAACATATATTTTTAATAATTCAGTTATAAGTAAAACGTAATAAATGTTATTTTAGGATTTTATTAGTCATATATCAATTCAAATAATAATTAAATAGCATAAAAATGTAATATTGCACCAATATTCTCCACAAATTTAGTTAAGGTGAAGTGGGATAACTTCAATTGTTATTTCAAATATTAAACACAAATTAGTAACAAAATGTACTAATGTAAAGTAACAATGTGTAGTGCAGTTATTGCTTTTTAAATTATATTGGCAAAAACAACGGCTTTTCAATTTTTAAAAAATTTAAAACTAGTTGTATTTCCAACTTGCCTCAATAGAACACTTCTTAAAATCACCTCTTTTAATTCGTATTAGACGACTAATTATATATTAAAATTTAAAAAGAAACTGTATCAATTTGCTCAATGTAAGCTTCTATCTTTTTGTTATATCTAATTTTTACACATACTTGATATTGTTATATATTGACAAGCATTTTTTTTTCGGAGCCATCGCGTTTAATGGGCCAATTCTGCAGTAAAATAGATCCATGTTATGATAAAACTATGTTACGCTGCGTTTTTCATATAAAATAAGTACAGAAACTGTCATTTTTTGTTGTTATAATTTATTTTTGTTAATCAAGACTTTTAACTATAGTTACTCAGCTTTTTGAGACACCAATTTCAAGAAGACTGAAGAAGAAGCTGTCCAAAGATGATATTCAGGACCCTTAGAACTACCACAACTTTATATGAACATAATAGTAGAATCACTTTATTGAAGTAATTCTCTAAATATCAATATAATATTTATCAGATTAATTTATATGTGTGTTTGAAAGTGCGAGTTAATGACATAAGCCAAATAGCTCATAGAATTGTCCTGTATTCTGATTGCTATTGAAAATAAAATTAAAAAAAAAATTAACTATCAAAATGTTTTAGATATAAACCAATCTTAAAAACGCTCGAACGTTTATAAAAGATTCTTATCATAAGTGCATATTTCTGATGCGTCATAATAATACATGAGTGAAGTTAGATTTTATGTGTAAAACACTGAGACGCGCAGCAAATACATTGTATTTTTAGTACCTTTTTATACGAAAAACCAAAAAACATTGGTTTATGTTACGACAGAATTGGCCTATAAATTTAAACCTCCAATGCTATCTAATATCTATATTCAGATGTTACAGGCTCAAATCTATAACATCTATGAACATAATAGTTTAGAAAGCTGAACCAAACTCCTTAAGTTTAATTTTCAAATTAAAATATGTCACATAACGTGTTCACTTTATTATTGAATAAGACGTTATTTCAGCCTGTAGCCTAGAGATATCTATTGCAATCTAGCTTAATATAACTTTCTAGCTATAAAATATTACATTTTGTTCTTATATTGAATTTATTTCAAGTTTACTACGTTGCTCCATCTATAAACGTACACCACTTCACCTTACAAAATATTCATACAAACAGCATTAAAGGGTATGGGCGTGTTTCCATACAGAATTGCCCCACCCTGGCATTTAAATAATTTTGATGTCATTTTATAGGTATTATTGAGAAAATTTGAAATACCAAATTTCAAATTTGTAGCTCATCATTTGGCCGAGATATAAGTGAAAACATGTAAAAGTGGCCCCTTTTTTCAAACTCACTTTTTGTCGGAAATATGAGAGATATCGAAAAACTGTTAACGTCATTCTATTTGTACTGATCTTGTCTATGTTGTTCATAACAAATAATGTAAAAAAATTATATGTTAGTGCGTGAAAAGGTGAAAATGATTTTTCATTTTCCATTTTCTACCAGTGCGGCTCCTTTGACTACTTTTATATTAGCATCATTCGAAAGCCTGTACATTTTTCTTCTGTTATTCAAAAATTTATTCAAATGTAAGTGGAACTTTGGGTGAAAAGTTGGAAAAACTTAAGCTAGTACGCGCGCTGCCGGTACAAGAACACCCATTTAAAGTCGCTTTGCAAGAGCGACGAGCAAGCATAAAGCTCGTCGTTATTGCGCGTCTCGACAAATGCTGTATATAAGTATGGAAATCTTTATTAAAAACCAAAATTTAACTAGCTGTAAGTGGAATTCTGTCTTAAGGCAATAAGGGCATCGTGCCTTAAGGCAAATTGCTGGAACTTCCCGTACCAAAAATTATTATTTTTTAAAAACGATTAACATTTTTGAAAAAATTTTACTTAAAAAAATAGATTTTTGAGAAACTATAAATTTTTTTTGAAAACAAAAAAATTTTTTGAAGAAAATGTTTTCTTCATTTTGACATATTTTGGAAATTCTGAACTTTTTTTCAAAGCAATCGCACTGCTTGAACTGCATAGAGACGAAATGTCAAAGCTCGCAAGTGCCGCGCCGCCGTCTAACGCATAAGCATTGGTACGGAACCCATAGAAAGTAAAAAAAAAAAAAGAGTGCGCGTAAGGATCACACGCGATTGAAGTAAAAACTTTTAATATTGTATGAGTAGGCAATTAAGATAAAAATAAAAAAAACTCATATTTGAATTTTAAAAATCATCTTTTAATAATCATATAACATCAAATAATAAGATCTCCTGAGCATCGGCACAGCTGTCCTACTGATATTAAGAGTTGAATATGATGTGAAGCTTTCTTCCTAATTTTGTTACCTATCTTACTGGGAAATTCAAACCATAAACGTAGAAGTTCATCATTATCGCCACGTTCTATGTACACTAATTTTCCACACAACCATTAGCTAAGCCATCACTTACATCATATTAGTTGTTATTATGTAAAATTTATTCAACTAAAATTATTTCATACGGCAAAGTCCGGTATCAATAACCGATTTTTGTGAAACTGCTGACGAATGTATGATGTTGATCTGTCGCATGGCAACCTACATAAATAGTCCGTGGCAGTAGATATTATTTTGTCTTCAACGAGACTTCAATTCAATATAAATTTATTATATTCCATGGCACATTTATTCTCTAAGAAAAGTCTTATTCCATGAGGACATAATACAGCAACCTCTTCTTTTGTAAAAAAAACGTGATTCAATTAATGCAAGTTCATATAGGGTTTAGCGCTCGACATGACATGACGGGAGTGGATACTCGCGACATCAGCGCTTACGGCGTCGTAGTGTTCAACTACACGTTGGCATTTTCGTTGCATTTGTACGGATTTACACCCGTGTCGCGCCTAAAAATTTTTACACCCATATCGCGCCTAAAGAAGTTTTACTTCAAAAATTATACTTATTGTTAAAATCTCTATAAAATATCCGATAATTTGATGTGCATATGTCTAATGATCATTTTTAACCGCCGAATGGCATTTTTTTTTACTTTTTTCATTAGATCTCCGAAACCGCTAGACCTGCCTTCATGAAAATTTGATCAATTCTACATCTTGTCAATACAAGTAAAATGTTTTTTGAATTATTCAAATCGGACGCTCCATTCTCTTAAAAACGAAGGTACCGTTTTTGGCACTTTTTGCCCCGTATCTTCGGAACGGCTAGACCTGCCTTCGGCAAAAACTAATCAGCACGTCTCCTTATCAATACGAATCGATGTTTTTGAATTATTCAAATCGGTTATTCCGTGTTCCCGAAATCGTCGACGAAAATTTGTAACCGCACATACACACACACACACACACGTACATACATACATGCACACACACACACACACACTCACACACACACTCACACACACACATACATCCAATTTTTCTAAGGTATGCCAAAATGTTCAGAAACCTCTGAAACGTAAAGATATATAAAAATTTTCATTTTCGATTTTTTTGCGATTACTATAACTTGCCCTACGGGAAGTTAATTATATCTTGTATATAAGTATATTCATTAGTCATAATAAAAAATCCAATGCGCCGAATAAAACAATAATTATTATTATTGATTATTTTCATTCGCCGTATAAGTATCTAGCTAATATATTTCAATGTATGAAAAACTAAAGATTTCTATATTTTTCATATATTTACGTCGGCAATAAAAAGTATTTTAATTTTAATTCATCACCTTTTTTTTATTTTTTGCAATGTTATTATATTTTAAAATAGTTATCATTAATGAAATATAATATCATTAATAATGAAAAATCATTTTCACCTTTTCACGCACTAACAAATAATTTTTTTCACATTATTTGTTATGAACAACATAGACAAGATCAGTATAAATAGAATGACGTTAACAGTTTTTCCATATCTCTCATATTTCCGACAAAATGTGAGTTTGAAAAAAGGGGCCACTTTCACATGTTTTCACTGATATCTCGGCCATATGATGAGCTACGGATTTGAAATTTGGTATTTCGAATTTTCTCAAAAATACCTATAAAATGGCATCAAAATCATTTAAATACCAGGGTGGCGCCAATTCTGTATAGAAACGCGCCCAGACCCTTTCGCATTCGCATTCGCTGATGTCTTAATTATTCTACTTACTTTAGGCAGAGCAGCCAGACACTGCTGCTTGACGTCCCAAACTAGCTGATCAGCCGGAAACTGTAAACATTTATGCACGTTGAGTTCTGGCACGTGCACACGCACCAGGAGCCATCCCTCTCGTCGTTCGCCGTCACCGGCATCGCCCACGTGGGACGCCACCAGGGCGCCGTTGTCAGGCGACGCCGATGTCACGAGTGGGTGGTGGTCGGAGGTGAGACCGTCTGGAAGATGATAAACAGATTTGTCAAGAAAATGATTTGATATTATTTTATCATATACTAGCTAACCCGGCAAACGTTGTTTTGTTAAGTAAGGTATATTCTAAACAATTTCTAGAGAATCAAAAATATTAATACTTCAAGTACAATGAGGTATTACAAAAACAATATACCCCATTAGTTTGTCTATAATTTGTCAATACAATCAAACTGGAAGTTTTATACACCTTCTATGGTATGGTGGTACATGGTATAATCCAATCCAAGTCTTTAATAAAAAGTATATATGTAAAGCAGGGCGAGGCGCAAAGGTCCAATTTTACTTTAAGCAAATATAAACTATATTGTGAAAACCAAAACAATTATATCACAACAAATAACACATTTCAAACAAACAATTATCTGACTACGTTCAGTAAAACTGTCAGCTACTTCATCATTGTAGAAATGTGCCTTTTTGCTGCCTTTCAAAAATTTGTTATCAAGACCTTTTTACCTTATAGGCGGGGTAACTTGGAACGGCCAGGTGGCAAACAGGTTTAATGTCTCATTTTAATTTTAAAGGTATTTTTTAAAATAATTGCATTTTTAACTAATGCTAAAAAACTACCAACGGAAGAAAATACTTTTATTTTGGATTTTCAAAGATTACCGTTTATCTCCCGATAGCAAAATCACAAGAATCAAGGTTATAGCTGGTTATACATTTTTTTCTCTACTTTCAAATATTGCTGTTAAATAATGCTAAGGTTTACTGGATTTTGACACATTGGTGGTGGATTTTTTTAACTCCGGGTCTTTATATATTACTATCTATTATTCGATGAATTCTGGAAAATTATAACGGGGAAAATGTCATTCGGCAAAATGTCCCTTTGATCGATAGCAAATTTAGGTTCTGAATTTAAATAACATAACTAATGTTTGATGACAATGTTTTATAAATACCAATGAGTATATAATTTTACAAATGCGATCTTCCAGAGCACAGTGTTTGAGAAAGATATGCCAATAGTGCATTTTCATATTAACATTTCAAAAAAGTTGATATTTTCAGTTTCTATCAACACTTGCTTGGCCCGTTTAATAACGTTTTTGTATATAAATAAAACTACAAACAAAACTCTTCACAACAATTTGATCATAATTAAATAATATTCACGTAAAACATCCTATTGAAATGTTTGACATTTCACGTATTAGCCACCGTCCATTGTTTTATTTAAATTACGCTTCTACAAAAAAATTTTAAATTAAAAATGTAAAGTTTTCACGCGATTTTGAAATAATATCTCATCTTTCCGACCATCTCTGGTTTGGCACGAAATTTTCAAGACTAAGACTGGCCAAATCGGTTTAGGCGTTTTCGAGTTTTACCGAATCATTTGATCGAGAGCTCCATTTTTATATATAAGATAAATTGAAGTATGTCCGTGCGTGTATGTGTGTAATTGCAATACATTCATAAACCATACGTCCGATCGCTGAAGTCTTGGGAAATTTTTTAGGTACATCCCCGGACAGGTTTTCGGATATTTTGATTGAAAACAAATGCTAGGGATTGGCCGCTACGAAGTTTTTTTTACTTTTTCGGGCAATTTTTAGATTTTTATAATGCGTATATAAAAACACATATAAGCCTAAATTTTCAAGCTCACCACAAATTCTAATTTCATAACAAATAGTATATAATAATAATTACATCATTTTTTTATAAACCAAACATCCAATCGCCATGAAAATTTGGGAAAATGTTGGTTATATCCCCGGACAGGTTTTTACATTTTCTGGTTGAAACCAGAAGGACGTAAGGATTGGACGGCCTGAAGACTTTTTTTTATTTTCCCGATCAAATTTTATAATAATGCTTATATAAAAAATACATATATCCCTAAATTTTCAACATCTAACCACAATCCCCTATTTCTTAATAATTATTATAGTAATTACATCATTTTTTCAATAATCCAAAGTCAACGGGTCAAAAAGGCCACTTTATTTACGTTATTTAAATATTTTATGATATGCATTGTTACTCCATCTAACTCTATATACAATCTCTGTCTAAGAGATAAATTAAATCAATAGTTATTCCAACCCTGCTGATGAATATTTGGTATAATCTTTGAAAAACAATGCCCATAAATAATGGTAAATAATGTAGATTTTAGTTCAGAAAACCCCTTATAATTAAAAATGAGGTATTGGGTACGTTTGCCCCCATATGGGGTAAACCTAAACAAATCATTTTTTTATAAAAAATAACAAACATATTTCTATACTTAGGCAATAACTGGGAAATATTCTGAAGATTTTGTTTTTTTTTTTATATGTAGGGTGTTGTGATGCATGTTGTTGGATTTTTACAGTTCTATTACTGTTGATACGCATATGAGCCTATAATATATATTGTCTTGCTGAATGGGATATTTTACTCAAAGATACATCTAATACAGCTCAACAATCGATCACAAAAAATACGAGCGCTACTTTCCATCTTGATCTTTGTTTAGATTATTATTTATATGTATTTTGTATGTGTGTTATCACACAATTGCTCCCAAACGGCTATTCAAATTTTGAAAAATTATTTTACAGTTGAAAAATATGCAAAAATTACTTTTCATTGGCAGATGAGGCGAGAACTGTTGAAAGTGTCAATTCACATATTTGAACATAAATGAAATGATGATCGTAAATCAAGAGTAAGAAATATAATTTAGAAATTATTATTACCACAAAGCAAGTAAGATATGCCTGTGATTAAAATATTAATATAAATGATAAAATACATTCCATAAAATACAATTGACGGTTGACAGTCCAAACATTTATGGTTAAATGTCGATATTTGTTACATTCTAAGTAAGGAAAATAGAAAGCCGACGCAAGACAAAACAATGTTTTCACATATTCAAAAAATTGTTTAAAACTTTGTTTCATTGTATCAAAAATTATAATTGGATATTTGGCATTGAATATTGGATATTTAGTTAGTTCATTAAAATAGAATGCAAAGGACACACGAAGAAGATTTTACACATTGATTCACTTAAACTTTGAACTTAAATGATAAAATATTTTAAATTATTAGTAAGAAAATTGTAATTTAGAAATTATAAATGCCAAAAAGCTACTAACGCAATTTACCAGTTTTGAATTGGGGACGTGTGTATAAAACAACGTCTGTCGGGTCAGCTAGTATATATATAGTGTGTGTGCCATTTATAAATAATGTTTATCATTTTCGTCCACTCATTTTTATTCTAAATCTAAATTCCTAGTCGGTATTCTCACCTGCATTGTTAACAATCCCGAATCATTAATAATTGTCACCACCCCATGAGGTGGAACGGGTGGTCCCCCTTGATGATTGTATGTTTGCTGATGGTAGTGATGATTTTGCTGATTGAGATGTTGGTATTGCTGCTGTTGCTGTTGGCCGTTGTTCGTATTGGCAGCATTGCCGCCCAGCGTCGCCATCTCCCGACCAGCCCGCGAACCGAACCTTTACTGGTCACATCTGGAAAGAGAAAATAGAAATGAAGAAAGAATTTATTGGCAATCAACTCATTACAGCTGGACCAACATGGAACCAGACATTTGTCAAAAATTCAACACTTAAAACACAGTAGCTTATAGTAATAAATAGGGTTTGTCGGTTTTTAGCGAAAATTATGGAATTCGAAAACCGTTTTTTAGTGAAAAAAGTCGGTTTTCACTGTAGAAATGGAAAATGATAAATAATTCCAAATAAAGATATATAAAAGCGTTTTGATTCTTCAAATCATATCGGTTCAATAGCATTTGATATCTTATCAGTCTGCAATGGTTTCGTTCATATTAATTTATATTTTATACCAGTGTTTATATATTAATTTCAATCAGTCTCTACTCAAACTTAAAAAAAAGAGTTTTAAACCCTAGAAGTCACAAATTAAAAACAAAAAACTTAGAATTATTATATCAAGCTTTAAAAATAATTAAGCATAATTTGGTCGCAAGTATGAGAGTATTTTCTATTTCAGAAGATTTTGTGAGTAAACAATAAATGACACGTCTAAGTAGCAATTCGATGGACGTTCTCAATTTTTTTAAATCATATTTTATTAAACAAAAAAACCAATTATGTTTAAAATTAATTAATTTAAATTGCTCGGAACAGACAATACGCGAGTGTAGCTTAGTTGTTTTTAAAACTAAAATTGATATTAACAAGTAGTATCAACATGTATCTAATATTTTTTTATTTTTTTTAATTCAATGAATGTTTTTTATTTAAAAATGTATTATTTTTATTTATTCGAAAACTTTCCTTTCACTATCATAAAATATTTTCATTCTTATAGGTGAAAATGTTGCATGAATAACCAATAATTATTTTCAAAGTTATTTAATCATGATAAACTATTATTTTTTAGTTCTACTAATTAAAATTAAAATAATTTTGTTTATTATCTTAAAATTGAACACTAAATTTGCGGATACATTACAGAATATTCGAGCAAAAATTTATTTTCTATATAAAATTCGAAAACCGGTTCGGTTAAAATTCGAAATGGTTTTCTGAAATGTCGGAAACCCTAGTAATAAACTAGAAACATTTATTATGAAAATTGAACTTATGGCTTTGTGCTACGAGGCTGCATAAGTTGGTCCAATATTGTTTAGTTTAGTTTAACTTTAAGAAATATTAGCTTAAACGTCTCCAATTTTACAATTCATAATGGCTTGAAAATACCTTACTGAAATGAAATGAAATGAAGTAATTAAAGATAGACACAGTATCCATATAACAAAAATTGACCATCAGCCAAATTAATTACTAAGACCAGTCCTCTATATACCAGCCATAAGAGGGACTCCAAAAATGTTGGTCTATGAATCAGGCTTAGCCTTCACTGGAAAATCGCTTACTCGAGTGATTTGTGTAAATTTTTCCTTCTTAAATAATATTAGCTTCATCTTAACCTGATCATAATAGCTTATAACATTGTATTAATTTGATTGTATTGGTCAATATTGGTATTATCAATTATTGGTATTATCAATAAAATAAATTTATGATGCATAATTTCGCTTGTGTTATGGTCCGTGAATTGTTAAGAAATTGTTTCAATTATTAAGCAAAAAAAGTCATCAAAACATATCGAAATATTGAATTAATTCAATCACATAAAATTCAAACTCAAACAGTTAAATCACACATTTCTATCAAAAATTAAGTCATTTCAAATCTAAACATAAATTTCATTTATCCAGAAGCAGTTATAATATCAACAAGTATTTCGCATTTAGAACAGCTGAGTTCAAATATCGGTTATTCTGTCAAATAACGTAAATTTATTAATATATCACATTATTTATTTCTCTAATTCGAACGCAAATTTTATTCATAATTGCCATAATATGAATCAGACAGCAAACGATATGGCAATTAAATAAAGAAAATAAAACATTAAAAATGTATAACGGATCGGCTTCCGTTAAAACCAGTCCTGAAGAATCCAGAAGAGTAAAATTGAAAGTTTTTTAATTTGATTTTTTGTTTTAAATGTAATTGATTCATATTTGAATATAAAATATTTTTTGGTGTTTTAGAAACTGTGAGAAATGTCAGGTAATATATAGTGTTAATTCAAAAATATCTAATAATAGATAATGAGAAATAATTTTAAAAATTTTTAATAACATCCATTTTCAAGTTTTGAACCATAATAATTTTCTTCGTAGTTGATTCTTTTTTGGATACATTGCTTTTAACAGAGTAAACTTTAGTAATCGTGCAAAAATCGAAAATGAGCATTTGTACATATCTTTACGTTTCCGAGGTTTCTGAACATTTTGGCATCCTTCAGAAAAAATTGATGTGTTTGTGTGTTTTGTGTATATACAATGTTTCGTCCACGATTTTTGGTGCACACTTCAACCGATTTGAAGTATTCAAAAAACTTTCGATTCTCACTGATGAGGGCACGTGGTGACTAGTTTTTAGCAAAGGGAGGTCCAGCCGTTTCGAAGATACGGAGCAAAACGTGCAAAAAAAGCATTGAGAGAATGGAGCATCTGACTCGAATGATTCCAACATCATTTTGCTTATGTTGACGTAAACAATCGATTAGTTTTTGTGTAAGGATTTTTTTTATTTCAAGAAATAAAAAAAAAAAATTAACATAAATTATTAGAATTTTAATTTTAATTCTAGCTAAAATTCTGAAGCTGACTTATATACTTGAGATACCACTTATAATAATATATTTGAAAACATTTAATAATCCTTCGGTACGGAAAGTTCCAGCAAATTTGTCTTAAGGCGTGATGCCATGCACTACTAGTTCTTTTTATTGTCCGTAGCATCCCTTCAATTCCGAAACTTTATATTTATATTATATGAAAAAGTATACTATACTGAAAAAGTATATTATAATATTAATAAAACGATTAAATCTATAGTATTAAAGAAAATATATTCAATTATATTTTTATCGAACTTGATCTTTCTCTGTTCTATTCATTGCTTTTCTTGTTTCTTTGGATTTTTTAGATCTTTTTGGATTATTTTAGATCCCATCAGATCTTTTGAAATATCATTGGAAATTTTTGCATCTCCAAGATCTTTTCTGGCATATTTCTATCTATACTGCTTAATTAGGATACCATTCAATTGTTTTATCCTTCTTGATTGAACCTTTTCAAATCTCATTTTGTATGTATGTATCTTTTCATATCTCTTCGAATCTTTCGAATCTCATTGGTTCTTTTCAGATCTCTTTTGGATCTATTCTTATCTTTTTGGATTTCTGGTGTTTTTGGTTATCTTCCTATTCTTTGATTCTTCCTGATTTCTTTGGGTCTTTCCAACTCTCCTTGAACCTTTTCAAATCTTATTGAATCTTATCTCACCATTTTGGATTCCCTTCGGATTTTTTCTATGTTTTCTCATACTTTTGGATACATTCTAAGTGTATGATCCATTCTAATTTGTTGGATTTTTTCAAACTCAATTCCGTCAATTTACGCATTCAAAGCTACTATAATTTATATTGGGCTGTAACTTGGCAAAATTGTGTAAGATACAATTATAAAAGAAATCTCAAAAGTCCTCATCGATCCGATGCGAGCTAAAAAAATAGCACAAGGTCAAAGATAAAAAAATGACCCTTTTGCGATTTTTAGCTAAATGGTCAGTTTTATCACAAAATTACCTAAGACAATATTGTAGAGCAAAAAACTATCTACAAAATATGCATATATACTTTTTTTGCTCAAAGTACGTACACTACCTACGACTCGTTTTTTTAAGTGGTTTTCCTAGTAGGCCTATTTCACAAGTCTCTTGAGGTTTGTTTGTTTCGGAACTATTGCAAAATAATATTTGTAAATTGGGGTTGGTGAAATTAGAGGCGGTAATTATAAATAATCAAATAAATTTATTCCTGGGAGTCATAATTTTCGAATGTTTCTACATCTTTTTTGTATCGATGAGGACTTTTGAGATTTCTTTTAGAATTGTATTTTAAACAATTTTGCCAAGTTACAGCCCATTATGAATTATAGTAACCTTCACCCTGATTTTAGGTTTAAATTGACCGGACTGTTATTGGATAGTTTGAGAATTAAAACAAATAAATTGTGAGACAAAAATAAACAGACAAAGACTAAGAAACAGAAAAAATTAAGCTTCGTTCATAAAATGAGAATAAGTCATCAGAAAAAATTACAATAGATTATCAGAAGCACAAATCCATCAAAGAACCAAGTACAGCAAATTCTTTAAAATATTATTTAATGTTAATTGATTTTTAATGCAACATCCTTTACTATCGGCACGTGTATGTAAATATCTTCTCACCTAGTTCATCTTCCACAAAAGTGAAAATGAACAAAAACTAAGACGAAACTATAATAAATCGTTACCGAACGAACGGATTAGACACAATATATGATTGAATGCAATTCGCCTCGAGTCGTCAAAACTATAATCATTCGATGCACATTATAAATATGCTAATGTCGCTTTCGATGGATTATTTATATCGCTACATAGAAATTATTGATAATAAAATTTCTTTATTGGATTTCATGGGAAACTGATTGCTGGCGATAGGGGAGAAATGGATTAATAGTAATATTTAAATATTACAATTAATTTTTGCACGTTACATACACAATATAAAAAATATATTTTTAGTTCTGCATGGAAATGAAATGAATATAGGGTGACCCAGAACTCAACATCAAGCCGAAACACAGTAATAATATTGATCGTAGATGTTGTGAAAAAATTAGAAAACTAGTGGTGCATTTCATCGTGCCTTAAGACAAATTGCTGGAACTTCGCGTACCGTAATGAAATTTCGAAGAATATTAAATGATTTTCAAACAATTATTATAATTATAATGAGATAAATGCTTATAAATTGGATGACTACGTTTATATATGTTTACATGAAAAGTAAATAAACAAAACCTAATCCAGCGGA